TAAAAATGAAGTAGCATTATACACGAATAATTATAATACATTGCACCGTCTTTTTTTTTTTTTTTTTTTTCCTGTTTGGTGATTTTTTTTTTTTTTTTGGTTGTGTGTGTGTGTGTGTGTGTGTGTGTGTGTGTGTGTGTGTGTGTGTGAGATAAAGTCTCATTATACAAATCAGGCTGGCCTCAACTGGGATCCTTCTGACTCAGTCTCCTGCCTGCTGGGATTACAGTCATGTGCCATTGTGGTTGACTATATCTGTTATTCTTATTACTGATTTTCTGGCTCTTACTCTACCATATTCTGGCCAATAAGGACCAAATCAAAGCAACATCCAGCATACAGTTGTGGTACATGTTTCTTTGAAGAAATTTGGTAAGATGCAAATATTTCTACATTCTGACCCAGAGACCTCAAATATGAGAATTTACCCCAAGGAAATAATGTAAAGGGAAAAAAGAAAGAAAAAATAAAAGCACACAAGGACAAAACTGTTTATAACAGGATTGTTATTGTAGTTAAAAGAACTGTAAATATCTGTAGCACCCACAAATAGGTATGTCAACTCAAAAGGAAATTTGAACCCATTTGGCAATGAACGTAAAATCAAAATATGCATAATTATTACATAACTTCAATGAAACAAATATTAAAATGAAGTTTCCAAATCAATTTTGGAAAAACTATAAATGTAAGTAAACATTGGAAAGAATAAAAATTGTTATGGGGCTGTGAATAAAATCTTGTTAGGTTTTTCTATGTTTTAATAAACCAAAAAAATCAAAAGTGAAGAAGTACACATTTTAAAGGATTCCTCTAAAGATAATAATTTTTGTGTGTATGTGTATTTATGAGTACATGTGGTACACAGATACATGTGCATGTATATGCAGGTGCATGGTCTTGTGTGTGCATGTGGAGGCCAGAGGAGGATGCCAAGTATTCTTGCTCTACTACTCTGTCCTACTCCCTTGAGGTATCTGGAGGTAGGCTAGCAGCCAGCAAGCCCCAGCAATCCTCCTGTTTTCATCCCCACAGCTCTAGTTACAGGAGTGCAGGTGGCCACAACCAGCTTTCTATATGGGTGTTAGGGATTCGAACTCAGATCCTCATGTTTATATATCAAGTGATCTTGCCGGAGTCATCTCCCCAGTCCTAAGATGGTTAATTTTTTAAAATTTAATTCTTTAAAAGATGTTGCTGGAGTCTTGAGTAAGAGTTTTACCATCCTGTTCTGGTGGGTAACCAAGTGCAATGGCAATAGCTTGTATTGTTTGAGGATCTGTGGGATCTCTCTGGTCAACAGCTCCAAAAAAGGGAATCCATTCCTGGCATGGGGCTTTTCATATGCTAGCCTGTGGTGTCTGTTAAGGCTACTGAACCCCTGTTATAGGGTAACCCCACTTAAACTCTTTTTTTATTTATATATTGAAAGAAGCTTCTATAGTAGGCTTCCATATAACACTTCAAAAGGCCTTTAGTATTAGTTATCCCTCTCATATTGCTGAAAACACTATACACGTGAGTCAGAAAAATCGAACTGGTACTGACCTCGAAGTTACATCCCTGTTGGCTAGCTTTTAAAGTACTAGAAGTTGCTATGACTGACTGACAGAGAAAGGAAGACATCAACTTTACCCAGCTGTCAACCCTGTGAGCAACAATAACAACTGGCTTGTCAAAAAACGCACACTGGTACAATAGTGGCATAAATGAAGATGGGCATAACCAACTACTTTCTCATTGGATTTAAGGCCCACTTCACAATAGGGAGTCCATACCTGACACGATTATCAGGGCCAGTAACCTGTGGTTAGATCACAGGCCAGGGGAGAACCTACTACTATCATTCTCTAAATAGACATAATATTAAACTGACTTATCATGACTCATTGTTATACCCATAAATTAGTGCATCTCTCAACTCTCACCAGAGAAGGTTTGACACAGAGACTCATAAATGGTCAACATGCAGCGAATAAGAGACCACAAAGTGCTCAGCCTTAAATGGAATGCCTATATTGTACTCTCTCCTCCCAAGGCTCAGGGATCATTGTGGAAGAGGGGGCAGAAAGATTGTAAGAGCTGGAGTTGGTAGCTAAATACAAAAACATTTTTGTCTGGATAGCATAGATATGTATGAACCCACAGCACTTCAGGCAGCATGCCCAAAACCTGTGCAAATCCAAGGCAGACAGGGACCCAGCATGGACTGGGGAGGTGGACAGGAAGCCCCAGCCCTACCCGAGGATCCATTAGCAACTGATAGACACTGGGAGAGTCAGTTTTTCCTTACTGGTGTGATGCCTGATAGGTTGACTATCAGACTCCAAGGGAGAGACCCACACTCAAGAGCACTTCAGAAACACCAGTTAGATGCAACAGGCCTTTAAAAAAGAAACACATAGGGCTGGAGAGATGGCTCAGTGGTGAAGAACACTGACTGTTCTTATAGAAGACCCAGGTTCATAGCAGCTAACAACTGTCCATAACTCCAGTTCCAGGGGATCCGACACCCTCTTCTGTCTTCCGCGGGCATTGTATGACATGGGTACACTTACCTACATGCAGGCAATACACACATACACATAAATAAAAATAATAAAATATTTTTTAAAAAAGAATCTAAAAAAAAGAGACAAATGATAATAGAGGGTATGGGAGGTAGTGGGGGTAGAAGGGGAAAGGCAATCTGAATACAATCAAGATACGTTGTATGAAATTCTTGAATCAGTAAAAATATTTCTGAAAATGTTGCTGGAGACTTTGCCTCTGAGAGCCCTCATGTTAATGTAGAGGAGGTGGTAGTGACTGTATTTCAGACCAGAACTTTCCACTTGCTCGTGACACCCAGTACAATCCATAGCTGAGTGATACTAAGGATGAGAAGGCAGTGCAGAGGGGGCAGGCCTTTTCAAAGGTGTTCTGGAAGCCTCAGCACCACAGGGGGAAGGTAGAAGTTTCTAGAAGATACCCCTGAATCCACTGTCCTGTCGTCTGAATGTTGGCCTTCTCTAGATTAGTTTGTCTAAAATATCGTGTGGCTAAAAACATATTTCAAAACTGCTTCTAGGATGACAAAACCACAAGCTAGAGTCAACAACTCTTTGGGCCTCAGTTTCCCTAACTGTAAGATAAAAGCACGAATTCTTGCCTCTTAGTTCACTGGGAGTAGATTAAATCTGAGTTGCAAATGACTTAGCATTTGGAAAATGCTAGAGAGAATTTATTGCAATGGCATTAAAAGGAATAAGGTAAAACACTGTATGACTTCATTATCTGAGGGACCTAACAACCACAGAGGCAGAAGTGGAAGGCTGGTTGCCAGGGGCTGCAGGAGGGAGATGGGCAGCTGGTGTCTTATGGGTGTGGTGTTTCATCTGGGGAAGATGAAAAAAGTTCCATGCAGGGACTTGTGGGGACAGCTGTACAATAATGTGACTGGACCAATGGTACTTAGTCATAAGATGAAAACGAAATGGTAAAGTTAATGTTTTGTGGATATATATATATACACACACATATATATCATTATATATAATACCAGAGCTGTGGGGGATGGTGACAGGAGAGTTGCTAGGGCTTCCTGGCTGCCAGCCTACCCCAGATACTTCAAGGGAGTAAAGCAAAAAGTGACAGAGCAAGGACAACTGACATCCTCCTCTCCACACACATTACATAGACAGATGATAGATGATGATAGATAGATGATAGATAGATAGATGATAGATAGATAGATAGATAGATAGATAGATAGATAGATAGACCAACAGACCACGTAACACTATCTAACAAATACCAAAAACAGAAAGGGTAGGATACAGACAGAAATACAAAACAAATGAGAAAGGGGAGGATTTCAGAGCAGGTGGGACTTACCCACTGCTTTGAGGTATGACGATTCAGAGGGGAGGGGTGATGGCCACCCAACATGAACAAAGCATAGAGGCTAAGGGATTAGAGTCCACTGGAAAGAGGCCTTGGGAAGAGGGAGGAACCGAGAGCTTAGTCTGCTGGAAGCATCACTCTGAACACATTCTTTCCCCTTTGGCCACATGAGGCACTTCTTTGGTTATAGACTGCTTTTGCGCACCTGTCTCAGTAACTCTATCACCACCTCCACAATCTTATCCATTCATTTGTTCAATAAATACTCAGGGCCCACTAGTTCCAGGCACTGTTGTAGGCACAGACATGCATGTACACACATACACACAACCCTAGACAAAGATGCTGGCTCATGTGGGCCATTACTCTAGGGATCTTAACAGCTGACATCTAGGCAAAAATTACTATGCACAGGCCAGTCTGTTCTAGGTATACTACAAATAGAGTTTAATTTATTTATTCTTCCCAATGTCCTTCAAGGCAACTACGATATCCCAATTTTACATGAGTGGGTGGATGGAATCAGGCCCAGAGAGGTCAAGGAGCCCAGACCATGTGACTAGCCAGTAGCAGGGCCAGGATGGGCAACTGTGGCTCATACTGGAGCAAGCTGAGGACAGGTACAGGGAGCACCAGAGCAGTCCTAGATCCACTGGGTCTATCTAGGAGGGCCCAGACTCTCCCCTCATTTTCAGAGGAGTGTGGCAGAATTCATAGGACAGTGGAAAGCAGAAGGCTTGGAAGCAAGGATGTGCAGCCACCCAGCAAGGCGGGGCTGGGTATGGACTTTGTGGTGACAGCAGATTAGAAAGACAGGATTCCGGTATCTTGAAAAGAGGAACTGATCTATTTGGGTGACTTCCTGGGTGTGAGGGGAAAGGCTGTGTCAAAAGTTCAGGCCTGGGGCACCTTCCAGGCCCCTGCTGCTAACAGGGCTAGGGAGGGGTAGCAGGAAGGAAACAGCTTTGAGGGTGCTCTATCTGGGTGGTATATACAATCTGCTCCCCTCACTCATGCACAAATACTATCAGGAAGTCTAGCGTTCGCACATGCAGAGACCTTGACTCCAGAGGACTGCCCAGACCTGGGAGGGGACATGAGCTCCAGCAACGTACCTTTGTCCTGTTCCACGGCTTCGCTCAGTTCGGGAAGCTTGAGCCCCACCAGGTTTTGGTTCCTCATCAGGATATGCTCCTTGGTGGGAGGAGGAAAAGACACACTTCAGATGATGACACTGGGCTGGACCCCTCTTTGTTTCTGGTAACTTTGAGACCACCTCAGTCTTGAATAGTTTTCCCAGGACAGTGGCCACATTGGGTAGATTGGCAAAGCCAGAAGGAAACCAGGCCCTCTCCCAACCCATGAAGGAGGCTGAAATTCCATCATTGGTGCCATATTCCTTGGTTCAAGAGCTACCCTTGTGGTCTGCTTGTTAAAGTCATCCACAGAGTAAATAAACAGCCCCTCTTCAACCGTGGCTGAGGTGTATAGGGGCTGGAAAGCTAAGGACTTCAGGGATAGGCAGGTCCCCTAGATATGCATGGGGCCAACCTGGAAGCAATCTGTGGGGATTTCCCAGCTGGCAGTGTGTCTTGTTCTACACAAGTACCTACTTTCAGAGTTGTGACCCTCCTTCCTTAATGGCCTTTGTGGCACCTCCAGACAAATGAGGCCTGAGAGGTACTGTCCTGGGGTCTCAGAAGACAAAACAGGGTTGAGAGGTTGGTGGACCCAGTAGGACACCCCTGCTCCAAGCCAGAGAGTGCCACACCAGGTCTCCCTTTGGGATGCTTGGATATTCTTGCCCATTTTGCCTTCCAAGGGTTTTTAGCCTCCTGGGTGACAGAAGTCACTTGAGTGACTGGCTTCTGGGTAAACTAGGGAAGAAAGTGACCAGCAGAGGGTGCTCAGGATCCAAATGGAATTCAGGACAGGCTCTTGCTGGTGTCCTTAGCAGGCTGGAGGCCCATAGTCCCTCCCCCATCAGCAGGCCAGGTGCTTAGCTGCCAGCCAACTGGTGATATAGGGCCTCCAGACATCCTGGGAGAGTAAGCTGCGGGGATGTGGGTTGTTCTGGATGGAGTGGCTCCAAAGCCCCAACTGCTTAACCCTTTTCCACATTCCTTCACAGACGTGGAATGTGACCCAATATGGGTGGCTCCACCAGGCCCTGTTCTAAGTTACTAGTTACTTAGGGCTCTGTATTTGGGGGTAGGTTTCTGAGTAACAGTCCATCTTCCTAAGCCTCCAACTCAGAGCATCACAGAATTAATCTATCTCCAAGGTCTCATGCATCCCAGACTGGTCTCAAACTTTCTATGTGTATGAGCATGACCTTGAACTTCTGATCCACCTGCATCTACATCTCAAGTGCTGAGATTACAGGCCTGAGTGATCATGCCTGGTTTTATGTGGCTCTAGGAATGGAAACAAGACCTTTGTGCATGCTAGGCAAGCACTCTACCAACTAAGCCACATCCCTAAAACCATGAAAGATTTCTGAATAGCACAGTGGTCTGTCAGAATGTGCCGTCAGCACAGAGATGAGCTTGCTTGTGCTCACGTACTATTGGGTGCTCATTTCTAGCCCACGCTCCCTCAGTAGTGGTGCCAGGGGGACTTTGTCCAACTCCAGGCCCTAGTCTATGGAATCCCAGTAAGCTTGGCCTGAATCTAAACTGGCCTTCAAAGGAAGGAGGACTAGGTCAGGGCTTACTTATCTAGTTAACTGTTTTCTCTTCCACAATCTGGTCTCCCATTCCCCCCATCTCAGGATACCACCAATCACCCATTGTATAGCACAGTAGCCTTCTGAGTGACCACTGCTCCTAGTTTGATGGCCAATAGAAGTTGGGGGCCCTGAGGACACTAGAAGAAACTCACCATGAAGGAGCAGACCCTTATGGCTATTGTCATAGTTATACAAACGTTTGAAAACCTTGGTTAACAGGTATCAGGAAGAAAGCCTGGATGTCATTACAAAAGAAAAACCCACTTCTGACTTTGCTCAGTCCTAGGTATGACCAGATACTGCACCAGAGGCTCCTGTCACCAGCCCTCACTGGAGGAGGAAGACAGTTCAGGCCTGAGAGGCCATGTGGCCCTGCAGTGTGGCTTGATGTGGCCACTACATCCCAAGCTCACTTCTACCTATTAACAAGAGTAAAAAGTACCTTACGTTGGTACTATGAAGATGTGACAGACAGAACTGGCTTCTCAGGGTCAGGAAGTTTGAGACACTGTGAGGTCAGAGCTGCCCTGCCCCAAGACCTAGCCTCAGTACAGAGGTCTACAGCTCAGGGGGTACCTTGCATGCACACACTGTGCAGCTGGGTGGGAACCCACCTCCCGGAGCTTGGTCAGTTTCTGCATGCGGACTGGCTGTACTTGTATCTGGAAATCTTTGAGCCCAGGTGCCTTGGCTAGCTTGGCTTTTCCTGGAAACCGCTTCTCTTCATCTGCCAGCGGCAGCTTGGCAAGTACTTTCTGCAGCCTCGGACCAGGTTCTTCGGGGCCACTGTCCCAAGAGACCCCTCGTATCAGCGGGGGTCGGGACACAGAGGGCCGCAACTCAGTTTTGCAGCTGGCCTTGGCTCCCACAGGCTCTCCAGCAGAGCTTTTTCCCTGGGAAGCTGGGGGAGCTGCCCCTCCTGAACTCTGGGCTGCACTTCTGGGCAGAGGGTTGCCTTCCCTGGCCATCTTCAGGAGCTGCCTCCCCAGCTCACTTTCAGCAGAGCCAGGCTGGGGGCTGTTCAGGGCCATTTTCCCACTCATGCTTGCTCCAGAAGCTGGGCTCTTGGGTGTAGTATCGGGGTGTTGGAGAGGATCAAAGTTTTCCTTTTGTTCTATTACAAGTTCTTTGGACTTCTCCACTGTAGGAGAGCGAGGAATCAGCCTGCCTTGAGAAACTTTCCTCTGGTCATTCTGCTTCCAGTCAGCTAGCCCTTTGGGGCTCTGAAAGAGACAAGGTAGAGTTGGAACCCTGTAGCCTGAGGAGGAGACTCAGACCCTAACAAGGGGCCCGTTTATGTACATGCTTAAGGGGGTGTGAACCAGGTGGAAGGGGATGACTTCTCAGTCAGATCTGAGCCAGTAAAGAGGACCCCCCCACACACACAAACACCAAACTTGGGGTGTGTGACAATGACAATAAGTGTCCTGTAATTCAAACAGCAGTCAAAACCTGCCCAAGGGCAAGTTGCTGAGAGGAGAATACAGGACCTCTCTAGCCATGACTCGGTTGCTGTGCATTCCAGCCCTGTCCTGCTTGGCATTTCACTGTTAAGGACTCACATTCCCTACAAGGTTTGTGAACCCTTTAATATTATGGACCCAGCACGCTTCTGCTGCGGGACTCTGCTACCTACTGAACACTTTAACATTATATACAAAAGTATATGTATGCTTTTGGGTAAGAGGTAGGAGGAGAAACCACAGCTTTCTAGGGTTTCTTTAGGGCTGGAGAAATGGCTGAGCAGTTAAGGTGTGCATTGCTCTTGCAGAGGACTGGAGTTCAAGTCCCAGCACCTATGTCAAGAAGCTTACAACTGTCCATAACTCCAGCTCCAGGAGGATTTGACTCCCTCTTCTGGCCTCTGGCCACAGAGACAGACAGACAGACAGACAGACAGACAGACACACACACACACACACACACACACACACACACACAATATATTAAATTAAAAAAATTTATTGAGAATTTCATACATGCATATAAGTTGTTTTGATCAAATCCATGCCCACTCCCTCCCCTCGAATTCCTCCCATATCTCCCCATTACTTTTTTCTGACAACTTCATGGCTAAATTTGTTTCTTCCCCATATCTAGAAGCCTTTGAGATGGAACTGACACTGATTCTAACCACTCCAACAGCTATCAAAGTACCTGAAAACAAATCCTGAATCCATCACTCTCAAGTCCAGCCTAGGCAGATAAAAGAAAAATGAGGAGGAACCCCATAGAGGGATGCTTTTGGAAGCTCTTGTCAAGAAACTCCAGTGGACTCTCATATGAACATTTGAAATTTGCCCTGTTCTGACTTTTTTCTGGTTCCCCTGACTTTTTTCTGGTTCCCTGTCTAGAACTTGTAATGCTAATTACTCTTACCTTTACTTCTCCTTCACATCCCCTATTCACCAGTCAAGGACTTTGTTTTCTCCCTACAGATAAAAGTTATGCAATTTGGGAGTGTTTTTGATAGACCCACTGAAGGGGTACTCTAATTGCCTCACCCTGCATCCCTGTTCAGCATGGAAGAAGCCAGATCCATCTGCATCTTGATTCCGTATTGGCAATTTGGGTAACCTCCTCAGAGAATGGTGTGATAAGAATAGGAGGTAGGGAGCTGGAGAGATGGCTCAGTGGTTAAGAGCACAGACTGCTCTTGCAGAGGACCCGTGTTCGATGCCCAGCACCTATAAGGCAGCTATGAACCGTCCTTGACTCCAGTTCCAGGGGAATCCGACGCCCTCTTCTGACCTCTGAGGCATTGCATGACATGGGTGCACTCACATACATGCAGGCAATACACTCATACACATAAAATAAAAATAACAAGTATATTTTTTTTAAAAAAGATGAGGAGCTAGGAATTGGCTAGGCAGTTAGGGTAAAAAGACCCCAAAGAAAGTAGCCAGTTTCTTGGCTAAAAGTCAAAATGTCTTTGGGCCTCTTAGTGACATACTCTGTTCCAAAGGCCAAAAATGTCAAAAGTATCTGGGAGCTCTTATCTAATCCCTAAAAGATTTTAGGGTTACCTGTTCAAAGGGGGGAATGTTAGAGTAGCAAAAAGCCCCATTAAAAAAACAAGAGTACATGAAGTTGACACACAATTTTTTAATTAAAAAATAAAATCTAGGGACTGGAGAAATGGTTCAGCAGTTAAGAGCACTGACTGTTCTTGCAGAAGACTCAGGCTGGAATCCCAGCACCCACATGGCAGCTAACCACTGTCTGTAACTCCAGTTTCAGGGGATCCGACTGCCTTTTCTGCCCCTGAGGGCACTGTACAACATGGCTGCACTTACATACATGCAGCCATAGCACTCATACACATAAAATAATAAAATCTAAAAAAAAGATCCTTAGCTAAAAACACATTTGTATGCAATTCTCAAAGAATAAAATTATTAAATTTAAAAGAAAAGGATTTTCTCAGCTCCATGATCCAAAAGAAAGTAAGGATCACAGGACAAGGCAATTCTTGCAGAGGTGACACATGTTACTACTCACAAGTTCCAAGATTTTACATCCTGTGTGTGTGTGTGTGTGTGTGTGTGTGTGTCTGCATATGCATGTAGAGGCCAGGGGTTGACATCAAATATTATCCTCAATCATTCTCCACCTGACTTTTTGAGGTAGGGTCTCTCCCTGAACCCAGAGCTCACCAGTTTAGCTAGACTGCCTGGCCAGAGAACCCTAGGGATACATCTGCCTCTGCCTTCCAGTCCCTAGTGCTGGGATTACAGAGGTATGCTTCAGCTGTCTGCTTTTTACATGAGAATCCAAACTTACTGACTAAGCCATCTCCCTAGCCCCATGAAGTGATTCTTGGAGGGGCACTACATTACTCAGAAGTTCGATTCTGCATCCTTCCATTCCTTGTTGGAAGCCTGCTTTGTGAGGGGCGGGGTGGGGGGGGGACCTGGATCTGGGAGTCTGTGTGCTGGTTTGTATAAGTGCCAAGCTCTTCCAGAGAAGTCTATCCCTGACCTAGTTCCAGGTGAGATAGTCCCAGCCAGGGGTTGGGGCTTTCCTGCAGTTTCTCTGGAGCTGGTAGAAGCAGCTGTCATGTCTTGATATGGCTGGGTTTGGTGGTCCTCCATCTCTGACCAGCAGCCTGACTGGAGGTGCACGACTGTAGGCTTAACTTAAAGATCACCCCACTGGAGCCTGCCTTACCTCCCTCTCAGACTTCCATCTCATGGTAAAACAGAGGAGTCCGCTGCTTTTCCCAGCCTCTACGCTCTACTCACACACATGTGCACACATTCACAGGCTACTCAGGAGTCAGCCTAGGCTTATGAGAGTCTATTCCAAGCCCCACTCAAATCATTGCAAATAGAACAAAGTTCAAACTCACAGGCTCGCTGAGGTGAAGTGAGGAGATGTCGGCTGCATCCCCCTTTTGCTGGAGGGAGAGGACACAGATCAGAGGCAGTGGAAAGTAGCCTGCTTCCTCTTGAGGCTTAGCAGGGTATAGATGCCCCCTCCACCTCCCTCACTGAGGGTCCACAGAGGGCCCAGGAGTGTTAGAGACAAGGGGAGAGACCCCCTGGTATAGACGAGGCACTGCAAGTGTGCTGTTACCTGTGGTGGTGTTCCTGGCAGAGGGGACTGTGGGTCACTGCATGCATCGAGACCTGAAATGGGCCAACACTGGTAAGTAATGCCCATCACCCCAACCCTTATTTATCACTTTAATAAAAACCCATTTCTCCCAGGACTGCCACTGTTAAGTGCCCCTCACATGCCAGGTTCTTCACTGGCCCCTGTTAAGTTCTCATAGAAACCCAATATGGAAACTGTCATGGGACCTCAAGCCTTTGTGCTAGGATGTGAATGCAGGAGCCTGAGCTTGCCCTCCAGCAAGCTGCTGGCTATGTACTCTGTTGGCTGAGGGTATGGCTCAGGACATAATCCAGAAAGAAACCAAAATGTACACGGGATGGGGGTGGGGGAGTGCTGGAGATGTAGCTCAGTGGTAGAGTGTTTGCCTCTCATGCTTGAGGTCCTAGGTTCAATCCCAGCACCACAAAACAGAAACTTTTCTAAATAAGATGACCTTTCTCTGAGCCTTCTCATCATAAAATGAACCCATCATAGGCCCTTTCCACGACCTTAGCCCTATCTTCACCCAGCCTGCCTCTTGCTGCCTGTCACATCAGCCCCAACCCTCAAAGGTTGTGTATCTGCCCCCTTGGGGTTCAGCCTCACCTGGTGGGGTGGTGAGTGAGCAGCTCCTTGAGGGTGCAGGAGAAGCTCCGGGACTGAGGTTTGGGGAAACAGCTGTGGAGACAGACATGGACTGGCAGGCATTCGTGAAGGGATAGGACTTCTACCTAACCAGTCACCCTCTCAAGGTGAGGGAGCCAGGATGGCCTCCTCAGACCTTTGCTGAGGAGATGCCCACAGAGAAGGGCCTCCTGGGGAAGGTGGGAGGTCAGGCGGGCTCTGCCAGACAGAGCCACCCAAGGGTCTGTGTATGTGGTAACTGTACAGTTTCTCTGCATGTAGGGCTAAGGAGGTAGAAACTCTCAGAGGAGAGAGATCATGGGTATCATATGGAATGACATCTGCTGGCAAAACAGAAAGCCACAATCAGTCACACACAGGGCCCAAAAGCAAAAATCAAAGAGTTCTCAGGGCTAGAGTTGGGTAGGCATCTTAGAGCTCCTGAAGCTGAGCAAGTTGCCTTCTTGAGGGATCATCTCTGTGTATGGGCCATTGGAAGCCCACCCTCTAGAAGCAAGCTTCCCACTGCAGCTGGGGCCAAGGTCCCTCCCTCCCTCCCCGAGCCCGGCCTTGGAGGGGCTCAGGGCAGCCACCTGCCCTGCTGCTGGCCCTGCCCTACCTGACGGGGAGTCTCCAGGGCTGCTCCTTGACTTCCTCCCGCGGCGGGTCAGGAATCGTTCACTCACCAACTTGGCTTCTTCCAGCAGTGCCAGATTTTTCTTCTTGTCCTCCTCTGAGATGCTGATGTCCGGCAGTTGGTCGTTTACCAGGTCAATGATGTGCCCCGCAGGGTCTGCGGAGGGAGAGTGAGCTCCAAATGAGAGCCACCACTCCTTGGCCCTGATCTAAGATGCAGGTTCCCCAAACCGTCCTAAGCTCTGCTATTAAAGGAAGGCCACCAGGAGCCCTCATCTCCACACTCTGCATCTCCAAGGGTGTTTTTTGTTGTTTCTTTTTTCTTCCAGTCTGTCTCTTTGAGTTAGTGAGTCAGAGTGTGGCTAAGGGTACAGTCCAAAGATCCTGGGCCCAACTGCAATCCCATGTTCCCCTTCCCCCCTCCTTTCTCCTGCTCCTCCTTTCCCCAAACTGTCTCTTCCCCAGAGCCCCTGGATGTGCTGCGTGAATGTCATCATCTCCAGCCGGGAAACGCTTGGGAAGCCTCCTTCCTCAGTTCTGTGTTCAACACCTGATCCAGTCACAGCACTTATAAATATCTCTGGTACCTGATCCCATCTCTATTCCTTCTCATAAGCTCTCACCTGGGCAATTACATCAGCCTGGTGAGAGGCCCTTGCTTTCAAGCTAATTCCCTTGGTTCCATGGCCTATTACCTATCAGAGTGACTTTTCTAGCAACCATGTCTAACCATGCCACTCTCCTGCCTCATCCATGGGGACTCCTCTGGGTCCCCAGGGTGACATCTAAATTGGTCACCAATTTTTTGGCCCCACATACTCCTTCCAAGCCCCTGTCCCCAGTCCAGCCCTCTGTAGTGAGCTCCCTCCCACTCCCACTCCCTCCTCTGCCTCTTCCAGCAGTAGCTCTTCCAAGGGGTGAAACCCTCAGAATGACCATTAAGTGAGTCAGGAGGAGCTAGCCATCCACACCTACAAGCTGGCTTCAAGCACCAAGGTTGAGTGGGAACGTGTTCCAGCTGTGGCTAATCAAGAAATGCCATCCAGGTGGCCACAGGGATTGGCTATAGATGGCCAGGTGAGGCAAGTGAGAGCCAGTCCCGGGAGCTGGGTCAGTGTTGTGAGGGGGAAGAATGCCCCAAGAAAGAAGCTCACACACAAGAAAGGAGATGAGATGGAATGGCGTCATGACTAGTAACCCAAGTTGAGCATCTGAATCCAGCAATACCTAAAACTACAGACCCTAGTGGAGGAGGGGGGGGGGAGGAGGAAGAGAAGGAGGAGGAGGAGGAGGAAGAAGAGGAGGAGGGGGGAGAAAGGAGTGGAGAAAGAGGGAGACGAGGAGGAGGAGGGGGAGGGGGAGGAGGGTGGTCTTACTTTGGAGTAAGTTGATGTGAACCGGGGCCCTATCGTTTGCATTAGTCCTAACCAATATACACAGCAGAGTCTTCAGTTGCCAAGGTTCTCTGGGTAGCCACCATGTCTTCCCACCACGTCTTTTCTTCCACCTAGAATGCTATTCCTCCCTCTTGTCTGTCCAACTTTCTAAGTGAAAACTCAACTACTACTTCCTCTGGAATGCCCGCATACCTTTCCTCCTCCCTGGGTGGTCCCCTTCTTACCTTGGGTTCCCTAGTTCTGTGAAGAGCCTTATACTGACTCTATCTGCTCACTTACAATCTCCTTATGAATGTAGACACCAAGCCTGTGTGACCCCTATGCTCCGGTTGGCCAGACAAGAAGGTTTGAAAAGTCATCTGCGGGGTCCAGCAGGGGATGAGAGGCACTGGCCTTCCACGTGGGCATGCTCCCAACCTGGATGTGTGCCTTGCTAGTTACAGCTGCAGGACTCTGCTTTGTGAGCCCCAGTTCTGAGCATCACTCAGTTAATCTGTCTTCTCTGACTTTCTCATCTTTCTCTTCATTCTGGTGGTGCCGTTTTACCAGAAGACATTAAAAGTAGACATCATTTCTTCTGGACCCAAGCATGCAGGAGCTGTTCACCTCCACCCTTTGGACTTGAGGACAGGGAAGCAGGAAGGGGCTGAATCTGGCCAAGCTCAGCCAGCTCAGTCTTGCTCCTCAAACACATACTCAGATTGACCCAGCCCTTACCCACAGAAGTCAGTGAAGCAGTAGAGACCTTCAGGTTTCGGTGAGAAAGCCTCCGGTGGGGACTGGGAGCTCTGAAAGATAGACCATAGTCATCTTGTTAGGAAATCAGCGTGGAGATGAGCAAAAGGATGGCCTGTCTAGCAGTTCAGTGTCTCCCTATAGCATCCTGTGAGTACCCCTGGGGTCCTCTGACTCTCACCTGGGGAACGTGCTAAACTGATGAATCCCCAGGCCCATCCCAGACTCCTGGGTCAGAGCCCCTGTGACATATATACTCACTATATGCTTTATGACAATTATCTTATGTGTGGAACTGCCTAACAAACCCAGGACTTTGCATTTGCTAGGCAAGCAGGCACCTCTGAGCTATTATATCCCTTGCCCTGAGAATGATCTTTGTAATGTTTTCAAATTGATACCTAAACAACCTTATTTCAGCTAGATCAATGCAGGGGCGAGTGCTGAGGGAAATGGAGGTAGTGACCCTTCCAAGGGACTATCTTCCATGGAGGACCCACTTTAGTCAGTGTAGAATTCAACACTCGAAGACTCACAAGTTTGTCTGCAAATATCTGGGCAGCTATCGTGAGAATTTCCCCTGCTGTGACAGCTTGTGCTTTCCTCAAAGGGCCAAATCCAGGAGAGGGAGCAGCATTTTGAGAGAGAAGATAATGAAAAAATCCTAAATTCTTTCTCATTTTGAAAAACTATTTGATAATATTTGTTTCTTTTTAATTTTTATTTTTGAGACAGGGTCCTTGTATATTCTGATCCTCCTGCCTCCACCTGAGTGTTGGGATTGCTGGTATGTGCCACCACACCCAGTTTATGCAGTGCTGGGAATCAAACCCAGGGCCTCATGCAGTCTAGACAAGAAGTATTGTACCAATTGAGCTATATCTTCTTGATAATATTTTCACCAATAAAGTGATACAGGGAAGGAAATATTTCTAGAAATACAGCTATCTGACGCCAACATTCTAGGAAACTTTGCCCATTGTAGCACAAGGTTTGGGTTCCCGGGCTGTATACCTGTCGGCCAGGCTTTTTTCAGTCTCTCCCTCGGGTGAACCAGCATCCCCTGTCAGGATGATTGTGGGAGGGCTGAGAAACGGTCCTGCAGAGGGAGAGTCCTGGTGGTTTGGAGCAAAAACACAGGTGGAGTTAGGCCTGGGTTGGAGGGAGCGTGCAGGGCTTGGCGCTGTAGGGTTTGTTCCCTCCCGGGATCATCTTGACAGGACACGGATACAGTGTATTGGTTCATCTGTTCAGTTTTGTTGAGGTATAATTGAGAAATTAAAATTGCACATATTCAGGGTGTGAACTGGTTACTGATGAACTAATTAACATATTGAAAACTCAGTTCTCTGTGTGTGTGTGTGTGTGTTAAGACTCAGCAAATTTCAAGCATACAACACATTGTCATGAACTGTAATTTCGCTGTACATTAGATTTTTAGAACTTGTTCATCTTACAGCTGAAAGTTTCTACCCTTTGACCAATGTCATTTCCTCCACCTCCAGAACCCCTGGTTCACATCATCCTACCCATCAACTCTCTATTTCGTGAGTTTAATTATTTTTTTCAGATGTCGCACATCAGTGAGACTGTATAATGTTTGCCTTTCTACATGTCTTGTTTCACTTAGCACAATTTCCTATAGGCTCCTCTGCCTGTTTGCAAACAACAGGATTGCATCCTTTTGAAGTGCCAAGTAGTGTTCTGTTCTCTGTATGTATGTTTTACATTTCCTTTACCTATTCATTTATTGACACTTAGGTTATTTCCATATCTTGGCTATTGTGAATATTATGCAAATGAAGTTTGTTTGGATTATTTGGAGAGAGACAGAGAGAGAGACAGAGAGAGAATGGGCCGTTTCTCCTTCATCTTCTAGCAACCATTAATGTGAACTTCACATGAATGCTCTAAATTAGGGACACTGCACACTCACCCTCATTAACAGTTCTCACTGGCAACATGGGAAAAGAAAGAAGCCAAGTCCTCAGACTGTGGCCAGCTCGGCTGGGGAGAAAACTGCCAAGAGAAAAGGCAGGACACCAGGCACTGCTGACAGTGACAGCCCTATCTTTGGGTGACTTTTTAAAAATATGTATGTATGTATGTCTGTGTGTGTGTGTGCACATGCCTGCAGGTCCCTGCAGAGGCCAGAAGAAGGGGTCAGATCCCCGGGAGCTGGAGTTACATGCAATTGTGAGGCACCTGATGTGTGTGCTGGGAATTGAACTCAGGTCCCCTGGAAGAGCAGAGTGCTCTTAACTGCGGAGTCAGCTCCAGTCCCTTTTTTGGGTGATTCTGGTTTATCTATAAAGGCGATTTCTTTCTAATAGGTGGTGGAATGCAGTTTAATTTTTCTTATTTTGTAAAAATGTTTATCTGAACAAATATATATTTGTGAAGTTATAACAAACGTTATTAGCTAGTCCTTATAATTTTGAGCTATTTCACAACTTCTAAGTAAAAACGATGAAAATGAGTCACTGCATTGGCAAGATTGAAAGGTGATTAATATACCTATGGGCTAATGCTTGAATGAATTATCAAACCCTATATGGGTCATAATAAATATTTCCTGAAAGAAAGAATGAACGAATCAATGAATAATGCAATAAAAAGCAATGTAGGCTATCCAATCAACTTGATGAAGATACAACTCAACCTAAGACCTAAGTGGATTGGGGCTAAATGGAACCACACTGTAGTAATCCATGGTAGCTCTCTGGGTCTTTAATGCCAATCATTGCACTATTTCCACCTCAGAATTACAGCCTCAAACCTAAGGTGACATGAGCTAGAGACCTCTCTGAGTGAGAGTCCACCTAAAGAACACCTAAGGCCAGGTCCCTGAGAGGTCACTCCTGGGTTCTCACCCAGGACCTCATCAGTGCAGAGAGAGCCAGTGTCTGGAGGAGAGTGTTCAGAATCTCCCTGCATGTAGAAGGGATGTTCCTGTGGGCATTTCTTCTAGGTGGGAGAAGTAAAGAGCACCACCTGTGTATGAGAGCCAGACAGCCCTGGCTCACATTTCTGTTCATCGCCTATGGACCCTGGAAAAGTTATTTACTCTTTCTGTATTCCATAACCCTAAACTCTTTTGTTTTCTTGAGACAGAGTCTCACTATGTATCCCTAGTTGGCCTGAACTAACTATGTAGATCAGGCTGGCCTCGAACCCATAGAGATCTGCCTGAGCACTGGGATTAAAGGTGTGTGCCACCACACCTGGTTTAAACTCTTGTTTAAAATTTTTATTTGGGGGGGGGCTGGAGAGATGGCTCAGTGGTTAAGAGCATTGACTGCTCTTGAAGAGGACCCGGGTTCGATTCCCAGCACCCATATGGTGGCTATGAACCATCCTTAACTCCAGTTCCGGGAGAATCTGAAGCCTTCTTCTGACCTCTGTGGCATTGCACGACATGGGTGCACTCACATACATGCAGGCAATACACTTGTACACATAAAATAAGAATAATAAATAAATAATTTTTTAAATTTATTTTTATTATTTTGTGTATGTGTGTATGCCACATGTACATGAGTGCCCATAGAGGACAGAGGGAGACATCAGACTCCTTGGAGCTGGAGTTACAGGTGGTTGTGAGCCTCCCAAAGTGGGTGCTGGGAACCCAACTCAGATCATCTGGAAGAGCAACAAGCACCCTTAACTACTGAACCATCTCTCCAGCCCCTGACCCTAAACTCAACTGGCAAGGTTGATGTAAAGATTAAAAATAATACTGATAAAGCACTTAGTGCATGATGGAGGTTTTCAGAAAGTGACCATTTTATTGTCACTATTTCTTTCTCTATTATCCAACAAACACTTCTGGGTTTCCACCATGTGCCTGTAGTATCTTGTAATGTAAGAGAAGGGCTCAAGGGCTCACAGTCAAGCAAGAGATACAGAAAAGGAGCACATTTGTAACAAATACAAGGCACTAACTGATGTACCACATGGGGGAAAATGCAGAGGGAAGAAACAAAAACTCTGCAATTAGGGAAACAAGACATCAGAGTAGGCATTTGAACTGGGGTCTTGAGAATGAATAGGAGTGGGAAGGGATGGACTTTTCCGGGGGCTCCTCCTCAAGGTCATGCCAGCTCAGGATGGAGCATCCTTTGCAGCACGGACGCTGAACCCAGAGATGTAGAGATCCCTAAGCCATTCTGCTGGGATTAGTGTTTATAAATCTGTGTGTATTCATGTGTGCTCACGTGTGTACACATGCATATGATGGCAGCTGGAAGTTGATATCAAGTGTCTTCCTCAATTGCTCTACATTTTTCTTGTGTGTGTGTGTGTGTGTGTGTGTGTGTCTATGCATATGTGTACATGTGTGTGTATGGGTGCACTCGCCTGTGCATGAACATGTGGAGGTCAAAGGCTGATGTCAGGTGTCTTCCTCTACCACTCTCCACCTTATTTTTGAGACAGGGTCTCTTTCAGCTACATTGGCTGACAGGTGACGCCTGGGGATCCTCCTGCCTCTGCCTCTCCAGTACTAGGACTACAGGTGTGTGACACCACACCCAGCTTTGTTTGTTTGTTTGTTTGTTTGTTTGGGTTTGTTTGTTTTGAGACAGGGTCTCATTGTAGCCCCAGGTGGCCTGAAACTTGATATATAAACTAGGCTGCTCTCAATTCATAGAGCTCCATCTGCCTCTGCCTCCCAAGTGCTGGGATTAAAGGTGTGTGCCACCATGCACAGCTCATGCCCAGCTTCTTATGGGGTGCTGGGGATGCAAATCCACGTCCTCATGCTTCTGTGGCAGGCATTTTACTGACTGAGCTATCTCCTCAGCCCACATTTGTAAGTTTTCAAATTACCTGTCAACGAGAGTCATTGGAAGAATTTGCACACGGGTCTCAGTTCCTGCCTTTCTTGAAAACAAATCTTAAAGTCCAAGTCCACATTTCTGCATAGAAACCCTTGGTCTGAGAATTCTAATGTCATGCTTGAATTATTCATGCCCATGGACCTGAAGGCTTCTGTTATGACCATCTTGAGTGGCTAGCCTGAGCTGCCTTTCTGAAGCACAGGAGGTTTGTGTTTAGAATCTCCCTAACTCATATCATCTTGATAACTCATAAGTAACTCCTACCGTAGGAAAGCCAATAAAAAATTTAGTTGTTCTCACGTGTGCATGGGATTTTATCTCAACATTTGACCTCTGAACATTGCCTGTTTCATGTTGCCCTCCCCAGAGCCTCTCTTGTATGAATCCTCTGGTAAGCAAGAAGAAATGTGTGTTGCCACCTGTGTGGTGGATAGTTCACAAATTACCAGCATGCACTTGTGCAGGTGGGTAGCAGGTCTTTAAAGGAATGGGATGGGCCAATCATGTCATGTTCTAAAAAAAATAGTTGGGATGGTAGTGATGGAGTCCGCGTCCATCCCAAGAGTTTAATATATCAATCTTGTAAGTAAGAAGAAAAGGTATTTTAATTTACTGACACTCTATTTCCAAAACAACTGGAAATAACCAAAAATAAGATATCAGATATAGAAACCTGAGAGCACTAAAAGAACAATGCGATAAATATAAATATCCATCGCAGATAAAAAGAAACACTTGCTCCTTCTGACCATCTATGGTTTGGGTCTGAAGAGAAATTGACCTGAACCCAGTGGAGCTGTGATCCCTGTGGGGCTGGCCTCTGAGAAGCACTGGTTTAAAGAACTATTCAAAATAGACAAAAAGAAGAGAAAGCAGAAAGGAGCTTGATTCTCAACTCTCACCTCTCCAAGGACATGAAAAGAGAATGAATCTGGATCCCCATCCTCACCTCTGCTCTCCCTTTTCTCTCTCCTATAACCTCCTCACAGCACACATTCCTCACTCACTCGTTTACCCTTCCCACCCAAATCCTCTCCAGCTACCTGTTTATAACTCCACCAGTCTGTCTCCATTCATACATCCATCTATCCATCCATATCCACCTGCCATTTTCTTTCCCCATTTATTCATCCATTTCCTCCCATATTCATCCATTATCCATCTCTTTCTAACCCCGCATCCATCCATCCATCCATCCATCCATCCATCCATCCATTCATCCATCCTGCTATACCTTCCCATCCATCCACCAACCCATCCACTCATCCATCTAT